CGGGGCGGGGCCGGGCCGAGCGAGCCCCGCCCACGCCCCCGGGGCAGCCAGAGCCGGGCCCGGCCCGTCGCGGGGGAGCGGGGCTGAGGATGGGGCCTTTCCCGCAGGGAGACGTCCCTGGGCCCCTGCCCGGCCCCGGCTCCGTCGGGCCGGGCAGCGAATGTGCAGGTGAATCCGCACATCGGGGACACCCACCGGCATCGTTGGGGCCGGGGCGACCGGGAAGGCGAAACCCCCGAGCTCCGGGGCAGAGCAGAGCCCTTACTCGCCGCCCCCGGGCAGGGGTGCCGCCGCCTGCCCCGCGCGCAGCAGCGCCTCGCGCGGAAGTGACCCCCGGGGATTCGCTACCTGCGGGACTTTTTACCATCCTTGATGTTCCCTGGGCCTGAGGAAGGGCACGTGTGCCCGAAAGCTTGCAGGAAAAGATCATGCTTTGGCGATGTCTTACTTGGTCTAATAAAAGGGATCTTTTCTGAGCCAAGAGCTCTGGAGTTTTGCATTTCTCTTTCGTCCCAACCCGAGTGCAGGGGGACCCCGAGCTGGGTGCCTTGGGATCCTCAGACCCCCACCGGAGCTGGCAACATGAGGGGCCCTGAGACCCACGCAGTCCCCCCGTGTGCAGGGGGACCCTGAGATCTGCCCAGAACTGACTTGTCTCAGGAACCCCACCCAGGTGCCGGGGCACACTGAGACCCTCCCAGCCTGGGGTGCCAGGGGACCTGAGCCTGCCCCAGAGCCAGGTGCCAAGGGACCCCGAGACCCCAAGAGCCAGCAGCACTGGGAACCCCTCACTCCCGACCCGCAGAACAGGGGCCCGGGAGACATTCCCGTTGTTCCAGGTTACCAGGGTCACTGAAACAACACATAGACACCCAATGGCGTTGTTCACTATTATAGTGGTTTAGTTAAAGATTCCATCTAACACACAATCACCCACACTAGCCTGATGTATACGACAAGAGTCCATAGGAAATTGTCATGATAGCACAATCAATTCATGACAGCCCCATTGCTCACACCCTCTGGGGTCTAGGAGCTCTCCTGTCTGAATCACCCATTTAGCAGGGGACCTGGGGGCCCAAACCCTCCCCGCCAGCACTATAGGGATTGGGACATAGTCATAGAGGGGCCTGGTTCTGGTCTCCACCCCTACCGATCTTACATGAATATATCCTCTCAAGGGCTTGTAAATCCCAGAGGAGATGACCTTTGCAAAGAGAGGTTTACATTTGGGACACCATTCTGCATAGGAATTGAATATGACCACTGGATCCCCTGACTTGATCCAAAGCACCTGTCTTTCATAGTGGTGTAATATGAAGGTTTGCATAGTTACACAAGATATGGCGGAACCTGTCTCATTGGCTAAGTCTCGCATCCCTTCTAACACTGAATGCATAATGGCATGTAGCTGCTTGAGTGGTTGCACTGCCACTGTTATAGTTTTGACATGATTCTCCTGATATTCCACATTAGCCACAATTTGACCCTCTAATGCTTGGCGGGTGAGTTTTCCCATCCTAGCAAGCTTATATCGCACTACCTCTATATCCATTTGGTTAAGCACCACTCCGGCACTTCCCACTGAACCCAGGAAGGTTGCTGCATCTCTACGAAATTTCCTATGCAATCTGGGATTTCCTAGCCAGGCAAATAGAATGGGTTCTGCCCATTTGCTGCACCACGGATGTGTCCTGGTGACATAAATTTCCCATTGCAAAACTACAAATCTTTCCAAGAACAGTGAGGGGAACACAACAAAGTTTTCTGGGACCATAGTTCCCAAAACTGTAGAAATCTTTTCTGGGTAGGTGGGACCCACCGAAATCCAGAAGATTTTCCCTCCGTTTCGCAACCCTTGTATTCGTCCTGAGTTAAGATGAGGAAATTCCGCCTGTCCACACAAGGCTTCCCACATCTCTGCAGGGATGGGATGCCTTCCTGGCTCACAATCTAGCGATCCCACAATATTAGAAAATACAAGCACAAAGTCTATTCGAAGTCCATCACGCACAGCATGATCGTAAGTGCCTTCCGCTCTGAGAATTTGGTGCTCCTCAATCTCAGTAATGTATTTGTCATCGTTGGCCAATAGAGTCCAGTTGGTACCCAGGGCTACAGTCACCTTGTAATGGAATGTAACAGTCTACTTTGGATCCGATACATGCACTCCACGGTGGGTGACACCCCACAGCTGTGCTCCTTTCGATCTCATTGTGTTGATCCATACACACCAATGTGCTCCATACGGACTGCTGGTAGTATCTGCCACCGAAACCCTCCCAGACTGGGGTGCCAGGGGACCTGAGCCTGCTCCAGAGCCAGGTGCCAAGGGACCCTGAGACCCCAAGAGCCAGCAGCACTGGGGACCCCTCACTCCCAACCTGCAGCCCCAGGTGCCCTGCGCTTGCTTTGGGCAGTGCCCTGCTCCAGAGTGCAATGAAAAAGCACCAGCTCCTGCCTGGCCCTCACCAGCAGGCCTGACACTGAGGTGGGGGGAGCTTGGGGGTCATGGGGGGAAACAGGCAGGAGGCAGCAGGGCACAGGGGGAAACAGGCTTGGGGCTGAAAGGCTCTTTGGGAAACTGAGGCACAGGCTGTAGTGTTAAGAAGAAAGAGAGGCAGGAGGCCTTGAGGGCTTGTGGGGGGGCCTGAGACAGGGGGAAGCAGGGGCACAGTAGGACACAGGCTCAGGCGTGCACGGCTCCAGAAAACTGAGGCACAGGCTGGAGGGCATGTTGGGGAAACTGAGGCCCAGGGCTGGAGGCTCAGGGAGCTGGGGGTCTCCCTGGGGGAGCAGGCACAGGGTTGCGGGGCTCAGAGGGGGGGGGGGGGTCAGGGGGAAACGGAGGCAGGGGGCTGGAGGGCCTCCAGCAACTGAGGTCTGGGGGGATCTGGGCCTGGGGGAAACTGAGGCAGGGGAGACTAAGGCACAGAAGCTGCAAGGTCCTGGAAGGAGGCGGGGGCTCAAGGAGCTGGAGGACAAAGTGGAAACACTGAGGCAGAGGAAAATGAGGCAGGGGCTGGGGGTGGCGAGGCCAGGGGTGCTGGGGGGAGCAGGGGTCTCCAGCCCTTGGAGCAGTCCTGCCCTCCCTGCAGGTCCTGCCCCAGTGGCTGCTGCCACCAAAGGGTTAACAGGGAGGTGGCGGGGGAACTGCTGCAGGCATGACATGCAGCTGAGGGGTGTGAGGGACCGCGGAAGCAGGACCAGAGTTTGCGCTTCGCGCCCAGGAGCCCTGACGGCAGTGGGGACGGGAGCTGGCCCCAGCCTCCAGCAGCTGCCTGCTGAAACCCCACGTGCTGCCAAGAAGAGCTGGGGGAATGATCCTAGAGCTGAGGAATCAAACCGGGGTCTGGCAATCCCTGCTGCTGTAGCAAGAAACCCTTTTGTCTGCCCCTCCACTCAAATGTGAAGCTCCTCCATACGGCAAAAGCCCCTCTTTTAGTATTTGCCCCCTTTTGGGGATGCTTTCTCTTTTCTACCTTTTCTTCCTTCCTCTCTCTCTCTCTTTTATTATATTATTATTATTTTTATATAAGGTGTATTTGTAGTGAAAATAGAGCTTGTAGATGCTTTTACAAATGTACTTTAAGTTTAAAAGTAAGTTGTACCATGTAACAATGTTAGCAAGAGCAGGAATCTCTGTATGGAGCAGGTCCCTGAATTAATCATGGTTGATTGTGTAACACGGTAGGTAGTCTGGATAAGCACGTTAATAAGTGGCAACTAACACCTACAAAATCAGAGACCAAGGAGAAGAAAGAATCAGTAAAGAGCCAGGAATTCCTGAAACTTCATCGTTAAAGGTACGGAAGCCCCCCGTTTGAACTAATCAACGCTGGAAACAGACCCTTGGGGCTGAAATACCCCTGATCAACCACTTCCAGAGCTCTATTTATTCATCACGGCAGTGAGTCAATCAAAATTCATCAACAGATTCCTGAGACTGCACGTATGTGCGGACGTGACCCCTGGGGCTGACAGCTGCCATCCAGCAGCTACCAAGAGGGATGTCCCTCGAGGTCAATGACCCCTGGATTGGGTAAGCCCGAGAATTGGGGAGTCACCAAAGTCTGCTAAAGAGGGATAAAAGGCAGTGAAGAATGACCCCCAAGGGCACCCTCTTTGACCTGACCAGCACCCTGTTTGTCCAGCCAGAAGGACCAGCTGGTGACCCCCTTCTGAAGCAACATTGCATTGAAAGAAGCCTCGACTGGCCATCGACGGCAGATTCCAGCACTTGAGGATAGGTATATCTTGATACCAGTGCTTAGTGTTGAGAGCTAGCTACTCTGTGTGTGTGTGTGTGTGTGTGTGTGTGTGTGTGTGTGTGTGTGTGAGAGAGAGAGAGAGAGAGAGAGAGAGAGAGAGAGAGAGAGAGGGGATCAGCATCAAGGTTTATGATCTGACTTCTGCATCCATCCAATAAACTAGAATTTTACAACAATCCTGTGAGTTGATGCTTTGTAGCCAACACTGCGTGACCTGGCTCCGCAGGGAGCAGAGATTACGGGGGTCTCCTCACTGCTTCTGCTCACCTCGTGTAGCCCCACGCCAACAGGACAGCGTGGGGCGGGCAGCGGCAGTGAGGAAAGCCCCTGCTGATCTTTGCTCCCTGTGGAGCCAAGTTGCACGGCAGGAACCAGCAAGCTTGCTCATCACCCTGCACTTCTTCCCTGCCCTGTGACCCCACAGGACAGGGATTAGAGAGCTGTGTGGGGGTCTCCTCGCCTGCACAGAGGGCACCGGCCCTAACTCTACCCTGGATGAGTCACCTACGGCCTATTCTGCTCCCTGCTGGGGCCCTGCAGTCCCAAGCCCCACCCGGCTGGCTAGGGCTGTGCGAAGCTTCCCTTGTAGCCCATTCGAAACAGATTTGGACGAGATTTGGCTGAAACAAAACAGAACAGTGTCCTCCAAAAAGGCTGAATCTGAAACAAAATTTAAATACAGCCATTTAGCACAGTCCTACTATTAGTTAGCCTCCCACTTTGACTTCCAGTGGGTCAAGGGGAGGGATCCACACAGATCTGGAACTGTTTTTGACTGATTTGACTTTGGACACGAACAATTTTGGGGGCGGGGGGGGGGCAGGGAGTAGAAAAAATCAGAGTTGCACCTTTCTAGACTAACCAACTGAGGCACATGCATGGGTGAGGTGGAAGGGACTAGATGGAGATGTGGATGGCTGTGCAGGCAGACCAGTGCCTCCCTTTCCACCCTTCCTTTGGGTCTTACTTGTGGTCATTCTCCATCACCTCTTGCCAGATTCTGGGCACAGGGAGAGCAACGCTGTAAGTGACTGCACCAGCTGCAGCCTGCAGAGACCCTGTGGCCAGGCCCCTGCTGCTGGACAGGCCTGGCCCAGAGCCACAATACACCCCTGTTGCTGTGGGGTGAGGGCTGCCTCTGGGGAGCTCCCAAGGTCTGCACTGTGACAGCTCCTGTCTCTGTCTTACACCCTGGCACCTGTGCCCTGGGATGGGGCTGCCGCACTGGGCCAGGCAGCTCTGCCATGGCCCCCTCCCCTTCCCCCTCTCCCTCCTTCCTCCCCTCCCCCTAGGCAGCATCTCCTGGCCACTCAGCCCTGAGAGCACAGGCACCGGTCCCCATGCTGCCCGCTGGCCACAGACTTTCCTGCTGCCCTCACAGGGCCCTCCCCACCTTATCCCCACTGGAGGAGCAGGCATCCTCCCCACCCAACTCCCCTGCCCAATCACAGCCCCATCCGCAACACCTTGGCCAAATATCCGGAGATTTAGCTTGGGAGCAGGAGGAGGTGATGGGAGGCAGCAGAGAGCACTACATGCGTCTGCTGCCTCCGCAGCTGTTCTGGATGCCTGGTGTGTGTGTGTGTGTACATGTCATGAATGCTTGGGTTGTGTGTGTGGGGTTGCACCTGGGTTGTGTGTCTGGGATCCCTGGGTTTCATGTGTAATGTGTCCCAGACATCTGGGTTCCATATATGGGCATGTGGTTACATGTGCGTGTGCATGTCTCAGACACCTAGCATCTGTGTGGTTGTGCATGAGAGAGACTGGACCTGATGCCACTGGAGTAGAAAGTCCCCTTCCCATCCCTGCCCCTGCCTCACCCCCCAGCACCCTTAGCCATGCCCCACCTCTCCCCCATTTCCCCTTCACCTTTAGGCAGGTGCAATGCCCCATCTATGGCTTTGGCTGCCTTTGGGAAGGCTTAAACCCCATGGCACATGTAGAGGAAAGTGGAGGGAGGGGGGGAGCAATAGGCAAAGCCCAGAAGCCTGGAAAATCCCCATAGTAGAACATAGGCATCAATATGCCTAGGTCATCCCCCCCAGGGGCTGCCCAGACTCTTCTTGAACGCTCCACTGATAGGGAGTCCACAGCTTCCCTCAGCACCTGTCCCACTGCCACCCTGCTCTAACAGGGAAGACGTTTTCTCTGAGATCCAACTGAAACTGACTTTGCCACAACTTCAACGCCCTTGTCCCCTCTGTGGCAGGAGAGAAAATGTGCTTTCCTTCTTCTCTATGGCAGCCCATCAGGTATTTAAGACCATGCTCATGTCCCCTCTTAAGTGCCTTTTCCACAAGCTGAACATGCCCGGCTCCTTCAGCCTCTCCTGTAGGACTCGACTTCCAAGCCCTGAATCATCTTTGCCACCTGCCTCTGGAGCCTCTCTTACTTCTCCATGTCCCTTTTAAAATGTGGAGCCCAGAACTACACACAGTATCCAGATGAGGCTGTCAGTGACAAGTGGGGAGGCACATGTGTCCTGCAGCTCATGCTTCCATTGATGCTGCCCCAAACTTCACTGGCCTTTTGCACGGCTGTATCCCATGAGGTGGAAGGGGCTGGAGCCTCCTTTGTGACTTGCTGCATCGAGGGCTGCCCTCCCCTGCCCCCCAGGGACCTCCTATCACCCCCCAGGCCACAGCCTCTACTCTCCAGACAGGCTAGAGCTAGAAGATGGGACGGAGGATTATGGTATGAGGGTGTCAGGGGCTCTGAGCAAGCAGGCCAGCCTGCGCCAAGTACAGCAGCAGCCACAGCTGCAGCAAGTCCAGCTAGCAACCTGTGCCCTAATTTAGGAGCAGCCAGTACCCTGGTTGGCTGCTGGGAGAACCACCTAGATGTCTAGCACCAGCTGGGCCCCAAGTCTGCAGTTCTGCTGTGACAAGCCTTCTGTCTCCTGCACTTGGCTTCTCCTGCCTCCCAACCTTAGGTTTCAGCTTATTTATAGGCTTCAGCTTTGGATTTCCAGAGCAGCATCTGAGGTGCTATGAAGCCATGCAGATTTTTTTATTAAAATATATCTATAGATATATTTCGTTATATAGATACATTCTCTATCATTGACTTCCATGGCACCTTTTTTCAAAACCAACTTAAGAAACCTGCACACCCGGTACAATAACTGCACCCACCCTCTGCCCTTCCCTAACCCAAACAGTCTCTTAGTCCAAGCCCTGATTTGGGGCTTCCCTTCTCAGTTCATGCTGTCCTTGTCGCTGTCGCTTCCACTGCTGCTGATCCTGTTGTTGTCCTTGCTGTCTCCAGGTCCAGTTGTGTCTCTGTCCCTTTTGTTCTCCCTGTCCACTTCCCTTCCCAGGGGGACTTTGAACAGCCTGTGCCGCATTTCCCTTTTCCAGGTGGAGTTGGCTGCATGCTCTCCCACCGGTTTCTGGTAGTAGGACTGGAGTTTGCTCAGATACATTTTAACATAGTCCATTTGCTTGAGCCTAGTGTGACTGTACATCAGGAGGTTCCTGCATTGGCACAGGGTGCTCCTGATGCAGGACACAAACTGGTCGTAGTGGGTTGTCTGGGACCCTGATGTTTAGTCAGGTGTCCATACAGCACCGCCTCCCTTGTCATCACCAGACTGACTCCTGTCATTTCCTTAAGAAGCTGGCTTACCCTTTTCCACACTCCCTTGGCATAGGGGCAAAGCCAAAAGAGGTGGTCCATGGTCTCGCTCTCATAGATTCATAGATGCTAGGGTGGGAAGGGACCTCAACAGATCATTGAGTCTGGTGACAGTTCAACGGCAGCCCAGGATGCCATTAGTCTTCTTGGCGACAAGGGCAACTGTTGGCTCATCTTCAGCTTCTTGTCCACTGTCACCCCCGGGACCTTTCCTGCAGAGCTGCTGCTTTCATGAAACCTATGGGTTCTCTCATTTTCATCTTAACATACTTATAGATTTCCTTTTTATTGCCTCTTCTATATCTTGCCTTGAGGTGCAGCTCAAATCTGGCCCTGACTTTCCTAATTTCCCCCTGCATGTCTGTGGGATGCTCTTACAGTTTTCCCCAGTGCTACGATCAAGTGTCCAGTGTTTGTGGGATTCCTTTTTGAATATGAGCTCATTGAAGAGATCGCTCCATGGCCAGGCTGGTCTCCTGGTGCAATTCCCATTCCTCCAGCACATCAGGACAGCTTTCTCTTGTGCTCCTATGAGAACCTCCCTCAGCAAGAGGGAAATTAAAGTAAGGGGGAAGGCAGGGGAGGGCCACAGGGATCGCCCCATTCAGGGCCAGGCCAGCTCCTGCTGAGTCCTGTGGTCTGGGAGCCACATGGGGCAGGAGCAGCCGGCAGGTGGGCAGGCAGGGAAGTGTTGAAAGTGGCCGCAGGCAGGGGGAGAGTGGCAGGGAGGGGGTGCATGGAGCGCAGCGACAGCTGGGCGCGAGCACAGGGTCCACGCAGTGGCCCAGGGCAGGGCAGCAAATATTTTTTGAAATCAAATTAATGAATGTTGTAGATGCTTAATGTTTAGACTATAATTTGGTATTTTTCTGGTTATGAGATGGCAAAACCCCTTGCTGAAAGTACTTTTGGGGGCAAGGGGAGGGATTTCCAGTGGCAAAGGTCAGAAATTTGGGGCCAGGACTTCTGGTCACAAGATGGTGACCAGGGGTAGGGTATGTGTCAAGGGGACTACCCATGCAGCCCTTCACAGCTTGTCTAAACTGGGTAAGGGTTCCTTCACCTAAAATAATTGCCCGCCCCTGTTAAACCATGGGGCTTGATTAGAAAGGAATCCATTATAGAGAATGGGATGAAGGGATGGGGGCAGCTGGCACCTGGTAATACAGAGTTCTGATGAGGGGCTGGAAAGCAAAACCTGCCAAGTTGGGCTCATGGAGTGGTTGTATCAGCTTCTTGCAGAACCCGATGGGCATGTGCAGGCCTGCGAGGGGGGTGATGTGGTGGGGAGGAAAGGCAAGAGGTCAGGGTAGAAGGCAGGGAATACCTCCCCAGCAACAAATGTTCTCCTTCCTGCAACTCAAGAGCCTCAAATACCAGCACCCTAGGACCAAGAGGGAGGATAGAGTGGGAAGTCAGCCAAAGACAGTCCCTGGGTGTCATTTAGAGCCAGTTGCATAAGGGAGAAGGCACTTCTCCTCCTGGGAGCACTGACTACTTTTAGAGAATGATGGGGATGGCACAACTCCAGGGCTGATTTAAAGATCATCGCCTCACAAGTTCCCCAAGCATCTGGGCTGGCCTCTGCATGAGAAGTTTCCTTTTAACCCCTACCTCTCATCAAACCTTGGGGGCGAGCCTCTGTGCTGTTTGGGTTCTGCAGGGCCCTAGAAGGGCCGAATGATGGGTGAATTCTTGCTCCAGCCCACCAGCATGTGTTGCCTGGATGAAGACACTGGTGGGTGCCGAGTAGGTACAAGTCCCCAATTCCTTCCAGCATTGCTTCCCAGCTATGCATGCACTGGTGCTGGGGCAGTTTGGAGGAGTGAGGGAAGCACTTCCCACACTCTGAGCACCTGAAGTGGTTTCTTCTCTGTGTGGATGAGCTGGTGCCGGGCCAGGTGGGAGGATCGGGTGAAGCTCTTCCCACACTCTGAGCACTGATATGGCTTCTCCCCTGTGTGGATACGCTGGTGCTGAGCAAGGTGGAAGGAGTGAGTGAAGCTCTTCCCACACTCTGAGCACTGATGGGGCTTCTCTCCTGTGTGGATGAGCTGGTGCCGGACCAGGTTAGAGCAGCAGGTGTAGCTCTTCCCACACACTGAACACTGATGTGGCTTCTCCCTTGTGTGGATATGCTGATGCTGAACCAGGCTAGAGGAGCGAGCGAAGCTTTTCCCACACTCTGGGCACTGATGTGGCTTCTCTCCCGTATGGAAATGCTGATGCTGAGCCAGGCTGAAGGAGTGAGTGAAGCTCTTCCCACACTCTGGGCACTGATGTGGCTTCTCTTCTGTGTGGATGAGCTGGTGCTGGACAAGGTGGGAAGATCGGGTGAAGCTCTTCCCGCACTCCAAGCACTGATGAGGTTTCTCCCCCGTGTGGATACGCTGGTGCCGGATCAGGTCTGAGGATAGGGTGAAGCTCTTCCCACACTCCGAGCACTGATGTGGCTTCTCTCCTGTGTGGGTGAGCTGGTGCCGAACCAGGTGAGAGGAGCAGGTGTAGCTCCTCCCACACTCTGAACACCGATGTGGCTTCTCCCTCGCGTGGATATGCTGATGCTTAGCCAGGTTGGAGGAATGAGTGAAGCTCTTCCCACACTCTGGGCACTGATGTGGCTTCTCTTCTGTGTGGATGAGCTGGTGCTGGACAAGGTAGGAGGATCGGGTGAAGCTCTTCCCACACTCTGAGCACTGATGTGGCTTCTCTCCTGTGTGGGTGAGCTGGTGCCGAACCAGGTGAGAGGAGCAGGTGTAGCTCCTTCCACACTCTGAACACCGATGTGGCTTCTCCCTCGCATGGATATGCTGATGCTGAGCCAGGCTGGAGGAGCGAGTGAAGCTCTTACCGCACTCCAAGCATTGATGTGGCTTCTCTCCTGTATGGATATGCTGATGCTGAACCAGGCTGAAGGAGTGAGTGAAACTCTTCCCACACTCTGGGCACTGATGTGGCTTTTCTTCTGCGTGGATGAGCTGGTGCTGGTTAAGGTGGGAGGATCGGGTGAAGCTCTTCCCACACTCCAAGCATTGATGTGGTTTCTCCCCCGTGTGGATGCGCTGGTGCCGGGCCAGGTCTGAGGATAAGGTGAAGCTCTTCCCACACTCCGAGCACTGATGTGGCTTCTCTCCTGTGTGGATGAGCCAGTGTCTTCTCAGGTTTCTGGAATGATTGAAGGTCTTCCCACACTCTGAGCAATGATGTGGCTTCTCCCCTGTGTGGATACGCTGGTGTTGAGCCAGGTTGGAGGAGCGAGTGAAGCTCTTCCCACACTCCAAACACTGATATGGCTTCTCCCTTGCGTGCATGCACCAGTGCCTGGCCAGATTGGAGGGATGCCTGAAGCTCTTCCCAAACTTGGTGCCATGGTGTGGCTGCTCCCCGCTCTGTGCACACTGGTGCTGGGACAGGTCTTGCCAGGAGATGAAGTTCTTCCTGCACTCAGGGCAGCTGTATGTCTTCCTTCCCAGGTGGATGTATTGGTGCTGAGACAGAGAGAAAAATGGGTGGAGGTCTTACTGCATATTACACAGTGGTGCTGACATTTTCCCCCTCCCCCCATGCCCATGTAGGTGCTTGTCCAGGTCTGAGGGACACACAAAGCTCTTCCCCCATTTGGTGAAGTAGTGGGGGAGCTCTTCAGAATGGATCTGGGGATAAGCAACCAGGGTCAAGAGGCAGGTGAAGCTCTTCTCACACTTGATGCATACATGGAGCTTTTACCCAGCATGCCCTATCTTGCGAAGAGCCAGGAGGGGTGGACAGTTAAAGATTTTCCTGACCTTGGAGCAGAGGTGGGCTCTGCCCCTGTTCTTGGCAGTGAGCCCTTGCTTCCCTCTTGATACCCTCCCCACTGCCCTGGCTTGGATGCAATGCTTCTTTCTAGTGGGTCTTTAGGTCTTTCATCTACATATATTCCACCCTGCACACAGGACTCTTTCTGGGTTCTGCACCTTATCCACACTCGCACCTAACTGGGGATGGTACCTGGTTCACTGCTACATTCTTCATCCGCTTTTGGGGTCTCCCCTGACACTTGGGCCATTTCTCCTTCTCAGGTCTCAGGGAGTCCATCTCACCCAAACTCCCTGGGGAAGTCCATGGTGGCTCCAGGTTTGCAGGCCCTTCCACAGGAGTCTCCTCCTCAGCTCCGTTCAGGAGCCAGGCACCTCCTGCGTGGGGAAGAGAAACTCCAGATTAGTCCCTGCCATGCTGCCAAGGGGCAAAGATTGGTATTCCTTCTGCTGGGATGGGCCTGAGTAGGCCTGGACGTTGGCCCTTGTGTTCCCTCAAGAAATCAAGTTCTTCCTTCCAAAACCCAAAGTGCTGGGGGTAAGGAAAAGGCAGTTTCTTGTGCTGAGCTAAAGTTCCCTATTCAGGGGAGTTCAGAGTCAGACTCTCAGGGTTTCTGTCCCAGCTTCTCTCATGTCCAACAGGAATGGTTAAATAGAGCTTCTGTACATCATCTTGATTTCCATGGGGGATTAGAGATCCCGTGTCCTGGGAGAGGGTGTTAAAGAGGTATGGCTACCTTGGGCTGGGGAATGAATTCTTACATTTGTGCGGGCCGGGAGTGATCCGGGCCCTTTTTTCGCGCCGCGCAGCCCGGGCACGTTGGGTCGGAGAAAACAGGCGGCACGCTAGAATTAGGCACGGACGCGTAATGGTTGATTCAAGATTGTTTACTTATACCGAAGATGGTCGCGGTGTAGGCTGGACAGTTTCCCAGGCACAGCTCCGCTTAAATCCTCGTTTGAGGACTCAGACAATATTCGGATCACTCCCACAGAGTTGTCGAGGCTCCGTGGATCCTTTTGTGCGCAGGGAGAGGGATACGTCGCGGATTGCGAACGGTGACAGGGAGAGGCTAGAGGGTGATCAGACCCCTGCTGCCTGCTTGAAATGCGCTGGGTCCAATAGGCTCCGCAGCGCTTAGAGATCTTCACAAGACGTGAAGTCTCCTCCTCCTGGTGTTCGTGGAGTCCTCCAACTTGGGCGGAAACCACTCAAGCTTTTTATATGGCTAGCAAGCCAATCACTAGCCACCACGTGTGAATAATTTCACGCAAGCCAATAATGGGGCTCGAATTATAATACAAATGGCGGGAACTCTTTGCAAAGTGCATTTCTGTGCTGCCAAGAAGAAATGCACACTGCAAAGAAAGCTACAAATTGGCAGGAAAATAATTCAGTGGTGCCAAAGCGCACACAAAACAAAAATCACACCCTTGGGTTGTGACAACATTATTGAGTGAGGATGCAAATTTAAGATCATGGTATCCTAGGAAAACCAGATATGGGCTGAAAAATCAAGGCGGCAAACTTAACTGTCTCCTAACAGCTGTAATTAGGGGGAGAAGAAGGGAAAAGTTGCCTGTCTCCACCCATATAGCTGGATTTGAGGAAGGGAGAACAACACCTGTATTTCAGATCAGCACTCTGCAAGGGCGGCATAGGGCATGTCAGTAGTTTCTAGGCTGCCCTGGCACTCTGGGCATGGAGCATTTCTGAGAGGGGAGTTGGGTGTAGGTGACAGTCACAACTCACCTGGCAGCAGGTCCTCTGACCTTGAGATTTCCCCACCATCCTCATCATCACAGACCCAGAGCTCCACCTGTCCTCGCTGGATGTGGCAGATTAAGTCAGGTGCGAGACCTCGATATCCTGTTTGGGACAGTGGTTAAAGAGCATTTGTGACTGGGTATTGGATGCAGAATAACCAACTGGGATATGGGGAATGGGTCCAATGAATTCAAGGTTTCATTGAGGAGGAAGCATTTAGGGTAAGAGAGAAGGCACTGCAGGTAGAAGACTTGAAGAGATAGTGGTCCTTTACACAGAGGTAGTGGAGGAATGGTCATAGGAAACAAAGTACCAACCACTCCCTGGTACAGAAAGTTTATCAAACCGACAGTCACCAAGGACAGGTACAGAGATGCAGTGATCTGTGATGTACTATGGACCAGAAAGATAAAGCTTTTACTGTTTTCAAGGTATCAGAAAGAAGAGACAATAGATACAATTATAGATGGATAATATTTATCTCATCAGTGGAACTCCAGTTTAAGGAACTGAAATAAGCTTATGCTCAGTGAAGGTTTAAAGTGAGTACCCATGACAGTGACAAGTATCCGTAGCAGGTGGCTGACAATGAAACTTTTCTGGGAGAGAGGATAAATCAGCATCACCAGGGCACAGGGCAAGATGATATTATAAAAACTGTAGTTGCAACTGAATCCAGCACCCCACCCAATGGGAGGATCATCCCAGGAATGGAGATGAGTCCACAGGTTGGTAAATACTGCCAGGTGTAAAACCAAGTTCCTTGGAGTTATGGAAAGGACAAAAAGAAGGTAAAAAGACACACGTCATAGCATGTGAAACCCCACAACATAGAAATGGTCTATATGGTCTTTGTTGGACTACAGAAAGCATTTGAGAACTTCCCTAAGAAAATCCTCTGGGGGAAGCGAAGGGGAAAGAAAGCATCAGAAAAGCAAAGTGACCTAATAAATGCTAAGTACGTCAACCCTGTGCACAAACAAGAACAAGCCTCTGTACTAGAGATGCGCTGAAAAGAAAAATGGCTTTCACTAGGCCCTGCACCTAGCCCACTTCTTATCACACTGATGGGTGTCTGATCTGCAGAGGGATTTTAGGAGAACAAGAAAACTTTGGAGAATGGGAGAGGGAGCTTGGGAGCAGAGGTCTTAACGTAAATACAGCGAAGCCAGAGCCTCTAGTCTATAGAGATGATGATGTCAGGAAGGAATGTGGACAGAAGCTTCCGGTGACCCCTGGAAGTAGAGGTACCTGGGGTCCATCACGTGTACACCTGTCACTAGAGGAAGAGTTGAGGAAATGCATCATCCACATGTTGTGCCAGCAGAGGCTAATAAGATTTCCATTAACTTGCGCTGGTTTATAACGAAAAGAGGAGAAAAAGCATTTAGACAGCACTGAACTGAGCATGACAGGACTGTAAATTGTGTTTGGGCAGGACACACCAGTGAAGGGGAAAATTAGAAACATTCCTCAAGGAAGAGCTATTAGTGAATTTATGCACAATGAATTGAAGATGATATGAACGTGTTCAGATGGCAAAGGGAGATCATGTTGTTAAGAAACTATTTGGTATGGTAGCACCAGTGGTTACAAGAGTGGTGAAGACACAAGTGAAGGCAGCTGAACGAAATGAAGGAAGATCTATCAATATGATATGTCAGAGAGTACCACTGACAGAGCAGTGGGGAGGAACTGAATTTAAACCACCAGGCAAACATGCACGAGTATGAGACTGCTGAAAAACAGGAAGAAGACAATAAGCTTCAGAGAGAAGCATGAACCAGAGCTTTACCCAGGGAAACGAGGGCTTGGAAATTCCTCAGCATTTGGTCCCGGTAAAGCACCTTGTCTTCCCCTTCCAGCAGCTCCCACTCCTTCCGTGTGAAATACACAGCCACGTCCTCAAACACCTCCCGAAGCTGCAGGCACAAGCGTTGCACCATCAGTGTCTCCTCTACTAGCTGCTTCCAACCCCCACAGCCCTGTCTGCAATCACTCTGTACTACAACTAATTGCAGTCTTTGTCATGACAGGTAAGGGTGCAATATTCCCCAGTCTTCAGCTGACATGTGATGTGGATGCAGCTGTGCACATAGGAGTTCATGTGTCAGCTTTAGCTCAGCTCATCACATTTTATTTGTTCGGTCCTTTGAGGCAGCCTGGACAGCACTTTTAGGGGCAGGGAGCCCTGGCTCAATGCACTCTGATAAGGCCTGCCCAGGCCAGCACCCCTCTGGCTATCTGCACTTAAAAGGGAGCTCCTACTAATGCCAGCTTGGTGTGTTTGCAGCCTCTATCACCACAGGCTTGACACTCTTCAGGTGTCTCTGCGCCCCAAATTGTTTATACCACTCCTGGCTCCTCCTGTGCTCTGCCCCAGCTGCACTCCCACCCGTAACTGGAACTAGTGCCCTGCTCACCTCCAAGCTCTCCCCCTGCTGTGGAGGTTTGCTCTTCCTCCTCTGCACTTGGCCAGACTCAGGTGTCAGGGAACTTGTCTCCTCCAGTCTCCCTGGGAAAGTCCTCTGCAGCTCTAGGTTTACAGGTCCCTCCTCAGGAGGCTGCTGCTCAGCTCTGCTCAGGGTCCCAGCATCTGTGGGGTGGGGAAGAGAATGCACAGGTTATTCCTGGTGCTGCTGGCGTGGAGAGAGCCCTGCTAGTCTCCTGTACTGGCCTGGGACTGAGGCAGCCAGAGGGTTCAGTGTATGGAAGAGGGAGGGGAGGCAGAAGAATCAAAGTCTTACAGGTTTGCCTAACAGACCTCCACAGGCACAAAGCTGGAGATGAGCCCCAATAACTCTATCCTAGTGCAGGGTGGTGATCACAGCACCCCAACAGAGCCTGCAGGAACATCACTCCCTGGGAAAGAAGCTCGAGGGATGTAGTGACTGTATCAGATCCATGCGTTAAGGACAGGGGGAGGGGAAATGCAAAGTCAGTCTTCTCCAGGGAAAATGAGACCAGCCAATCTGTTGGAGCACTGACCCCATCAACATGTTCTGGCAGACAGCTGGATAGTGCCTTCTGCTCCTGGAAAGGGTAGAGCCACCACTCCTTACCTGCTTCTTGGGAAGGGCCTTGTTTGGGGCACCAGCCTAACGAGCTTCCACACGCTGACAACTCCCAGGTCTCTTCAGTTTCAGGGGAATCTGCAGCAGGACAGAGGCCTGAGTTAGCTGTACCTGAACCAGCCAGGGGCGACTGGGGAGTTTCATTTTCCCATCACCTGCACCAGCCCCTTATTGGGCTCTGAGGGTTCAGGGGGGCATGAGAAAGGGGAGAGCAGAGCACTCTTAGAACAACAATCAGAGTGGATAAAAAGTAATGATTTTTTTTTTTTTACTCGTATTTTTTATTTGAATCAGATTTTTTTCACTTAATAGTATTTTTTTAAGATGCTTATTTAAAAAATATAAACCTATTTAAAACATTAATTTAAGATATGTTAAAACTCAGCCTTATTGCTTTGGACCAGTGGATGTGGTGTACCTTGATTTAACAAGGCTTTTGATACGGTCTCCCACAGCATTCTCGCAGGCAAGCTAAGGAAGTATGGGCTGGATGAATGGACTGTAAGGTGGACAGAAAACTGGCTGAAGCATCATGCTCAGGGGGTACTAATCAATGGCTCAATGTCTATTTGGCAGCCGGTGTCAAGTGCAGTGCCCCAGGTGATTGTCTTGGGGCTAGTTTTGTTTAATGTCCTCATCAGCCACCTGGAAGATGGCATAGAGTGCACCCTCAGCAAATTCACAGATGACACCAAGCTGGGGGGAGTAGTAGATATGCTGGAGGGTAGGGCTAGGATTTAGAGTGACCTCAACAAATTGGAGGGTGGGGAAAAAGAAATCTCATGAGGGTCAGCAAGGACAAGTGCAAAGTCCTGCGTTTAGGAGGGAACGAGCCCATGTACTGGTGCAGGCTGGGGAGCTGATGGGCTGGGCAGCAGCTCTGCGGAAAGGGACCTGGGGGTGACAGGGGACAAGAAGCTGAACAGGAGCCAGCAGTGTGCCCTTGGTGCCAAGAAGGCTAATGGCATCCTGGGCTGCATTGCTAAGAGAGTTGCCTCCAGGTCAAGGAAAGTGATTATTCCCTTCTGTTCAGCACCTCTCTGGAAGAGGCCATATCTGGAGTCCTGTATACAGTTGTGGGTCCCCCACTACAGAAAGGATGTGGACACACTACAGAGAGTCCAGCAGAGGACAACAAAAATGGTGAGGGGGCTGGGGGACATGACTTTTAAGGAAAGACTGAGGGAATTGGATTTATGTAGTCTAGAGAAGACAAGACTGAGAGGATTTGACAGCATCCTTCAGCTACCTGAAGGGGGTTCAAAAAAGGATGGAGCTGGACTGTTCCTAGTGGGGGAAGATGGCAGAACAAGGAACAATGGTTTCAAGTTGCAGCAAGAGAAGTTTAGTTTAGACATTAGGAAAAGTTCTCTCATTCAGAGGGTAGAAAAACTGGAACAGCTTATACAGAGGCTGACAAGCAAAACTCATGACACGTGACTATGTGTGTTTTCCATCTCTCTGCCAGAGCACTGGGATTGGAAGGGACCTCAGGGAAGGATCACAGTTAGTAGCCAGCTACACACAGACAATATGACAGCAGTCCTTCCCTCCTCATCCCCCGTCTTCCCCCTCCCTCTCCTGCAGGCAAGCCCAGCTTGAGCTTTCAAACTCGAAATGTTTCGAAACTTTCAAAACGTTTTGACTGCTCTTGTTTCATTTCAAGGCTGTTTTGAAGCTTTTCACTTCATTTCGATTTTGCTGTTTCGAGCTCGAAACAAGTCAAAACAGCATCAAAACAAAACAGCCAGCGAAATTTCGCTGTTGTTAATTAGGGTGACAGTGACCACTGCCTGCTGGAGTTCACCATTCAGCGCAAGGTGGCAAAGGCAAGCATTCAGGCTGTGGCCCTAGATTTTAGGAGGGCGAACTTCAATGAGCTAAGGAGGATAGTTGGGGAAGCGCTGAAGTCTCAGAGGGGAGGGGAGCCAGGGGTTCAAGGGGAGTGGTCGCTCCTTAAGGAGACGCTCCTCCAAGCCCAAAAGAAGGTAGTCCCGACGAGGATCAAAGGGGGCAGGAGAGCATACAAGCCGCCATGGCTCACCAAAAACATCCGGGAATGTCTCCTTGCTAAAAAGGAGGCTTACTCCCAATGGAAAGGAGGGGTCATCACCAAGGAGGACTATTCGGCAGTTGCTCGGGGGTGTAGGGGGGTAGTTAGGAAGGCCAAGGCAGAGATGGAACTGG